TGCTACTTCATTTAGGGTGGGTCTTCTGTCAATTAATCTAATTCAGATAATTCTCTATAGATACATCATGAGGCTTGTCTCCTAGGTGATTCTGAATCCTGTAGAGTCGACAACTCAACTATGACATACATACAAAAAGCAGTAAGCACTGAGAATGCTAGCTCTCTGTGCAAGAGCCATGTAGGACACTGTAGCTGCAGCCTGGTTGTGTGGATTTGCACCTTAGTTCCATCCCTTGCCATTTTCAGAATCTTGAAACTCTACTTCGCCTCTGCAGGCCAGAGGTTTCTGAGGTCAAATGTGAAACAGCAACATGTCAGTCAGCGATTGCTACCCTAATGCTGTGTAACAAACAACCCCTAGGCTTTGTAGCTTCTAACCTATAAGTCTTTGGCTTTCATTCCAAAGCCCACAGGTTAGCTATGGCTCTGTCTGTCTGGGCTCCAGGCTGTGGGTTTGATTTAGGTCTCCTCCATGTGTCTACCTGCAGCTATCAAGAGCATATCCTTTTATGGTGAAGGTCCTACATATTAGCGTGGCAAATAGAAACATATGATACTCTTAAGAGCTGAGCTCCAAAGGGACACATTGCTCTCACCCATATCCATGGATAGAGCACATCATTGGGGCTGGGGGAGTGTCCTCCCCAACCATAAAGCAGGATAAGAGCAGGAGAAGAAAGAACCTTGAGAAAACCCCAAATTTGTAGTGCTGATCTGGGAATATTGGAAAGGTTCTGTGAATGAATGTATGTTGGGGCTAGAAGCAGATCCTCGCATACAGCAGGTTCTATATTCTTGTTGTTCAGGAGTACAATGAGCTCTGAGAGAAAGAGAGGAGATTTAGCTTACGTGTTAAACTTACCCTTTCCCTTGAAAAGTCATAAAAAGAAAAAGAAGGAAGCTATTTCTTTTCAGGAGATGGCTTTTTGCAATAGGTAGGAGCTGGGTTGTCTCTGAGGCAGAGTGGGATGTTGGGGAAAAGCAGATACAAAGTCTTGGAAGCAGATGGAGCCACTGTGGGAGAAAAACTGGGGGTGTGACTCAGTGTCAGAACATTTTTCTAGCATTCAGAAAGCCAGGGTTGAAGTTACATCATTGAAAAGAGGGGAAGGAAGGGGCTGGAAAGGAGAGAGAGGAGAGACAGAGAAGGAGAGGGAGGGAAGGCCAGAGGAGAAGGGAGGGAAGAGAAGGAGGAGAGAGAGAGAGAGAGAGAGAGAGAGAGAGAGAGAGACAGACAGACTGTGGCCTTGGCCCAAAATGCCAAGTACAATGGAAGAGTCTTGTAGGCCCCAGTGTGGCATCACTCACTTCTGTCTCCCCAGTACCAAGGCTGCCACAGAATAAAGGTTCCTAAGGGGCACAGTGGGGGGGGGGAGAAGCAGTGATGGGGACAGGGGTCTGAGAGGATTAGAGAAAAATGAAGAAAAATGAAGAGTGAGATTGTTAAAGGGGTGCACTGGTCACAGTGGATACAGTCTCACCATAGACTGGGTGACAACCTTGCTAGCAGTTCGGATCAGGCGTCCTAGGACAGAGGAGACACAGCTCCCTGTTTTCTGCGAGTTTTGATTCAGCCCAGTTTTCTAGCAGTGAGGGCAAATAGGGCCATCCCTCTGACTTGTCTCTATCCCATCCCTTTCTTTCTTTTCCCTGTGAGTTGCAGAATGTGCAGAGGCCAACACAGGGGTGGCTATTGCTCTTTAGGATTAGGAGGGAGGGTGGAGCCTCTCTTTGGCTTGAAAAGCTTGCCCGAGCCAATGGCCCAGAAGATAGACTCACTTTCTTATAAAGGGTGCAATTAGAGCTGGGGGATGGCTCAGTCAGTAAAGGGCCCAGATACGATGCCAGGTGTGCTGGAGTAAGCCTTACACTGGGGAGGCAGAAGCAAGCAGGGTTCTGTGAGTTCGAAGCCAGCCTGACCTACATAGTTAGTTCCAGGACAGCCAGACCTATGTAGTAAGACCCTGTCTGAAAAACAAACGTAAGACCTAAATTTAGGCCCCACCACCCATGTGAAAAGCTAGGCATGAGGCACACTAGTGTTCCCAGCACTGGTGAGGAAGTGACAAGGGACCGCTGGAGCCAGCTGGCCTGCCACTCTAGTCTACCTGGTGAGCCCCAGGGCCCGACCAGAGAGACTTTTTCGACATAGTCAAGGTGGTAACTCCTGAGGATCAGTACCCCAGGCTGAACCTCGTCTCTGCGCTCACGTGCGGACATGCGCACGGGCACCTGCACACAAGCGCACACGCCCAAATTTTAAAGTTATTGTGAAATGATGGGCAGGAATTTCACACGTCTCATTTTGATATCGTCAGGTTGTTGGATATCTGGCCCGTAAGAAGCCTCAGAGTCCGGCTTCTGACTCACAGCGTGAAACTTGAGGTGAGTCACGTGGGATGGGGCCTGTAGCTGTCTGACCAAGTAGTCTCAGTTGTGGGTACTCTCTGGGGTTCGTTGGTTATGGAAGTCAGTGTTTGCTCTTAGGCTTGGCCTCACCACTTGCCCACCCTGTGACCCTGGACTGGCTACTGGCCCTCCCTAAGCCTTCGTGTCCATCTTAGGGCAGAGGTAGTGGTTTAGGGGGATTCGTTTGAAGATGACCGACTGTCCAACAGTTCTCCCCTCTCTCCCAGAAGAACAATGTGTGGATGTGGTCACCAAGTTCAGGATTAAATCGCCAGTTTTCCCTCAGGAATGTCTTACTTGGCACCCTGGCAGATGACAGGGTTACACATTACATCACAACAATGGCTACTCTTAACTTGATGGGACTGCAGCTGTAATATTTCCTTTGGAGACACAATTTATGCCATGATGACTCAGGGCTGTGAAGAAACACGAGGCTGCCTGCCAATCACGGACATTTACCTTCACCTCCTTCTGGAGGCTCAAAGTCATTATGATGGTGTTGGTGGGTGCTGCTCTCTCCTGGGCTCCGAGAGGGAATCCATCCTAGGCCCCTTTCTGAATCCTCAGCAGGGCCTAGCCTGCAGCAGTATCACACCACCCTCTGCCCCTGCTGTCACAGGGCATTTCCCCGGGTGACTCTTCCTACGGCTCTTTGTGTGTATATGCACCCGAGTTTCCCTGTTAGAGGGAGATGGGTCATATTGGATTAGCAGCCACCGCAACGGCTACTCTGAATTTGATGCGATTGCAACTGTAATATTTCCTTTGGAGACACAATTTATACCATGATGACTCAATAAATCCACTTTTAGGATTATAACAACATCAAAATATGTATCAGAACTTTTCCAGTAGCTTCTTTTTTTTTTATAGTCACAAACTGAACACAAGCCAAAGGTTTATCAACAATCCATTTTCAGCTGGATTTTATTCACACAGACTAGCACTCAGCAAAAAAAGAAAAAGACAGCTGCTGATATGAGTCACAACATGAACAAATGTGCCCTGTAATTCCACTTGTGTCAAATTCAAGAAGAGCTGAGCTGATTGGATGAGGTCCACTGGAGATGTATTAGTAAATTTGATGGCGATGGTGATGATGATGATGATGATGATGATGATGATGTGTGTAAACAACTTAAGAGGAGGAAAGATTTATTTTGGCTCACAGTTTCTGACACCTAGTCTGTGGTCGCTTGACTCCCCTGCTTCTGGGAATCAATGAGACAGCAGCAAACCAGGGCACAGTGCTTGTGGGGAAGCGAACTGCTCTCTCAGGTCACCACAGACAGGAAGCAAAGAACAATGAAGGGGAAAGGTTAGGGACAGAATGCAGGCATGCCCACAATGACCCCCTTTCTCCAGCTCTGTCCTACCCCCAGCCATCTCACCTCTTCCTAATAATGCCAGTAAATGATGGACCCATCTGTAGACCAAATCCATCCATAGGCCAAGAATCCTACGGTTCAAATAACCTCTCGGTGAATACATCTAATGATTGGAGAGAAAGGTATTTTTGTTTGTTTTGTTGTTTTGTTTTTTCAAAACAGGGTTTCTTTGTGTAGCCCTGGCTGTCCTGGAATGAGCACTGGCCCGAACTCACAGAGATCCTCCTGCCTATGCCTCTGAGTGCGGGGATTAAAGGCAGGCTCCCGGCTAGAAATCAAGTTCTTAGCATATGAGCATTTGGCAGAGGCAGGGCATTTTATGTTCACAGCTATAAAGGAAGACAATCTGCTTTACTCAAAGCAACTTAAATTTTAATCTTTTTTAAAAAAAAAAAACTCACAGAATCATCCAGAATGCTGTTTGGTCAAATATCTGGGCACTGTGACCCAGCTAAGGGGACATATAAAATGAACATGACTGAAATGACTTCGTAATGCAACAGGAGTGGTAGCCGATACAGCTAGTGAGGCCCTCTGGTAGTGGACCCTTGTTCTTAGTGCAGTGACCTGCTCCAGGACACCCCAGTACCACCCCAGAATACCTGCATGCTAAGTTTCTTGCTCTTTTGGCAGTGGAGGGGGCAACTGAATCACGTCCAGTGTAATTGGTAATGGCAGTGGCTCACTTACACCCTCTCCTAGCCAGCATGCCCTCCTCAGCTGCTGCCAGGGCTGTGGCTTCGGTTTATCTTTGAGACCATCGAGGGAGGGTCCCCTACCCTAGCAGTGAACAGTCTTCATTCTAAACCGATGTGAACTTCCCTTCCCTTCTTCCATCCTTAGCTCCCCGTCTTCCTGACGATGACTGACTGGCACAGGTATACAGGTTCCCTGTCTGGCCTCGAAGGCGGCCCGTTGGAACTCGGTGGTTCTTAACTGGGTGGCAGGGATGGCAAGCACCTTTTCGGGGGAGGGAGTTCTTGGCTGAGGGGAGGGCTCCTTATCTTCAGGGAGGTTTTTGGGGCTCTGCCATGCCCTCTTCTGCACTCTCAATCACTCCTGCTTCATTCCCCACAAAAAGCAGCTTCACCAGTTCTAGCGGGGGGGCAGTAAGGGGGGGATGAGGACAGCTGCTTGTTGGGAAGAGAGACTTGGAGTTGGCCTTGAGTCCCACCCCCAAGACTTATTGGAATAGGAAATTGCCACTTTCTGCAGCCAGATAAGCTCTGATGAGAACAGCTGCCCCTGGGAGAGTGTTAAGAACCAAACCGAAAGCAAGCTGGTTTCCTGGGCAGCAGGCACCAGGCCTAGTCTAGGGTTTGTAGTCCCCACTGCAGCCGGGGCCTGTGGTGTGCTGAGTCACCACCCTAGAAGCCCTCAGTGGGGTTTTTCCATAACTTTGAGGTTTGGAAATGTCCCAGGCTCTCCTGCTCTAGTTGGAATCTCATCTCTGGCGTTCCCAGAGGCTTTCTGCCCTCTCTGGGAAACAGCTGCTCAAAGACAGAAAGTAAGTGAAAGCCAGGGCCAAGGTGGGGTGAGAGGGGTTAGGAAGAGGGCCCAGCGGAGAGGGGGATTGTGGGATGGAGAATGGCTCATTGCTGCTCTCAAAGAACCTTCTATTCCACCAGACTGGAGAAGATAACCAATAGTTTCTTCCCTTCCCTCCCCTCCTTTTCCTCTCTCCCTCCCTCGCTCCCTAGCCTCCCTCCTCCCTCCCTCCTTCATTCCCTCCCTCCCTTTTTTTTTTGTTTTTTGTTTTGTTTTTTTTTTTTTTTTTTTTTCAAGACAGGGTTTCTCTGTGCAGTCCTTGCTGTTCTGGAACTCACTCTGTAGACCAGTTGGCCTCGAACTCAGATATCTGCCTGCCTCTAAAGGCATGTGCCACCATCAGCAGGCCAACAAAGGCTTCTTTCTTAACAGCAAGGCTGCAATGACAGGACGTTAAGCTGTTCCCTTAGAAGAACTGCTTGCAACTTTCTTCTCTAAGAAGGATTTAGAAGGAAAAAAAAAAGCTGGGCAGTGGTGGCAAATACTTTTAATCCCAGCACTCGGGAGGCAGGTGGATCCCTATGAGTTTGAGGCCAGCCTGGTCTACAAGAGCTAGTTCCAGGACAGGCTCCAAAGCTACAGAGAAACCCTGTCTCAAAAAACCACCACCACCACCACCAACAACAACAAAAAGACTTAGGACAGGGTTCGGGTGTCAGAGGGACCTGATTAAAAACCTCACTCTGTTCTTATACATTCTGTGTTGCTGGGAAAGTGGGAAAGCTACTCCCCAGCTTAGAACCAATTTCTTCATCCATGAATAATCATGCCCTCTGTGCATGTTTGCTTTCTGAAATGGGGCAAGGAGGCATCCAGAGGCAGAAAAGGGCTTGGTAGGACATGAGTGCTGAGGGAAAAGCCAACTTCACCAGAATAGCCAAGGTAGCCACGGTGGTAGATTTAGGGCCATTGCAATTCCCTCTAAAGCCGATTTCACTATTTATACCCCCACACCCTAGGTCTGGATGGAGCCTTCTGCTAACTCTTATTTAGTGATCTGAGATGGTGCACAATATGGCCTAAATACCATCCCTCTCCAACAGAAGACCTTGACAGTCATGACTTTTGGCTTTTTTGTTTGTTTGTGTTTTGAGACAGGGTTTTACTACATAGCCGCGACTGTCCTGGAACTCACTCTATAGACTAGGCTGGCCTCAAACTCACAGAGATTCACCTGCTTTGGTTTATGGAGTCCTGGGATTAAAGGTGTGTGGCACTACCACCTGGCATTGGCAGTCACTGTGCAAGAGTCCTTAGGCCTGTGAGGAGGATTTCCAAAAAGATGCTGCTTTGTAGGTGTCTCGGGCTTGCATGGCTGGGGGTGGAGGTGTTTTCTCAATGAGCGAAGTCCTGCTGTGGTTACTTGAACCACTGAACAGAGAACAGGTTTGGCGTGGACGTGCCTGTGGGGAATGATTATTAGCTTGGTGGGCTGGTTCCACTGGAGGTGGCAAGAGACCGGGAGATAGAGGTTCTGGTGTAAGTAGCTTAAGTTTAAAGAGATCTTAGGACCTTCAGTAGGAATGTGAGAATGAGCCAGGTAAGAAAGCAGCCAGTGAACTGGGTTACTATGTTACTATAGCAAATCATTATATGAATACATCAGCATAAAAAGATGAAAGGTCTCTTGGCTACATGGCTTTGGGCCTGGGCAATGGGTGTGCACCATGGCAGAAGTGTGTGGTAGGGCTAACGGCTCACTTCATGGTGGCGAGGAATTAGAAAGAAGAAAGAGACCATGTCCCACAGCCTCCCTTGAGGGCACACTCCAGACGAGGAGTCCTTGCTACGCCTACCAGTTAAAGGTTCTGTTACATTGTCGCAGCACCCAGTGTGAGGAGCAAATCTTTAACACATGGGCCACTGGAGCCATTTTACACAGCAGGACAAATGGGGCAGTGTTGAGCAGACTCCTGGGGTAGGACATTAACTGCTGACTCCAGGTGGACAGAAGGAGGTCAAGAGGCTGGTGGAAGTGTGCGGGCAAAGACCCACGGGTGCTGCTGGTTGCAGGTAGTAAGAGCCAAGAGCAGTGTTTGCTACTTATGTGGTCATGAGGACCTCAGGGGAAGGAGGGAGGGAGTTTCCGTTGGAGAGCTGGGCCATCGGCTGTCTTCTAAGGAACAAATGGGTAGTTTAAAGATTTTCTTGAAATCCCAGAGTTGGGCAGATTCCTTTTCAAACTCCCCACTATCATGTAACAGGTGATTATAAGACGGTCCCCACTTGCTGTTCCAATCTGAACTGACACCCTGTACCTGGTGGATTTATAGCTGTTTCCAATGAGGAGTGGGCTCTGGTTCGAGTCTGTAGCTTGCTTTGGCCAGTGGAAAGTGCTGGAAGTCATGCTGAGTCCTTTTTGAGCTTAGGCTTTAAAAGACTCCATCTGCTTTTACATGGTCGCTTAGACATTGCTGTGTGAACAAGGTGAGCCTATGGGAGGGTAAGAGACCTCAGGGAGATAGAGATGGGCTCTAGATCAGGCCTAATTAGCCCAGCCACTAGCTCGCTGAAACATGCCAGCCAGCCCAGGCAATATCAGAAGGTGCCTCCTCGTCTCATAGCTGATCAGGGACACATGATGACCCAGACAGTAAGAGGTGGCTTATCTGATCTAGACTCGTAAATTCATGACATTCAAGCCTATTTATTTTATTTTAGTTTTTTTTTTTTTTTTTTTTTTTTTTTTTTTTTTTTTTTTTTTTTTTATTTTTTTTNTTTTTTTTTTTTGAGACAGGGTTTCTCTGTAGCTTTGGAGACTGTCCTGGAACTCACTTTGTAGATCAGGCTGGCCTCAAACTTACAGAGATCCACCTATCTCTGCCTCCCAAGTGCTGGGATTAAAGCCTGTACCACCACCACCCAGAAAAGCCTCTTTATTTTGAAGGAATTTTTTCTTTACTGTCCAGCTAACCAACACATTAGAATCATTGGACACTCAGGCTGACTCAATACTGAAAGCATCTTGCAGCCTACTTAAGGCCTCCACAAAAGGCTCTCTTGTGACCTCGGCCAGCTTACATTTTGGCTTCTTCCTTACTGATGGAGCTCCCTGGGCACTCTTCCATCTCTGTTCTGTGTTCTTCTTTGAGATCTCTTTCTGTCTGTGTATGCACATGTGTGTGTGTGTGTGTGTGTGTCTATATCTGTGTCTGCACATGCATTTATACATATACCCACGACCTCTAAAGGGTTCTTTTTCTCCTTTATGTTTTGTGCAGGGCTGGGAATGGAGCCCCAGGCCTTGCATACACAAGGTGAGTGCTCTTCTATTGGGCCACATCCTCAGCTTGTATCTCGCATCAGGTTAGTCTGCCCTTGTTAAGGACCCCCCTAAGGCCCAGACTGCACTTTAGTCCCTTCATTGCCCCCCTTTCCTTAAAGCTGTTCCTAGTGTCCATTCTAGGTTATGAGAATCCAGCTCTGTGCATTTGGTTAAATACCATGAGCTAGCCCCGCTCTACCCCTGAATATAGCAAGAACGGTGAGCCTCAGCCCCCAACAACCAGAGCTAAAATTAGCATTATCTGGCTGGGTCAGATTTCCTGCCCTTTTAGGGCCCCTCCCTACTCAATAGCTCTCTTCCTTGTGACTTGAGCTGGTCATGGGACCATCTCCCTCTCACTATCTAGAACCTGATGAACCAGAATGACTTAGGACACCGCCCAGATCTCTGGTCTCTTCGTCATAGAATTTACTGACCCGGGCATTTGGTCACCAACCGCAGACACTAACTCTGGCCTAAGTGGAGAGGAGTTTATTGGTCGGTTACAGGGTGCCTTGTGAGATTCCTCAGAAGGACTGAGCATGAGGAACCCGTGCCTACTAGCTGCCACTGGCACCATTCCTTCTGGCTGTGCTCTCAGCCGTCCAGACTCCGAGCTCTGGAAGCATGACTGAGAGACGGCTGAGCTTGGCTCTGGGCCTGTGCCCTCGTCACCAGAAAAAGCAGACCATTAGGCTGCTCAACCTCCTTTCTTTTCTTTTTTTTTTTTTTTTTTTTCGAGATAGGGTTTCTCTGTGTAGCCCTAGCTGTACTGGAACTCTCTCCGTAGACCAGGTTGGCCTGTAACTCCCAGAGTTATGCTTGACTCTGTCTTGGGAATATTGGGATTAAAGGTGTGCACTACCACCATCCAGCTTCAGCCTGCTTTCTTATAAAATGCAGGACTACATGCCCAGAGATGGCAACACCTACAGTGAGGTGGAGTCTCTTACATCAATCATTAATTGAGAAAATGTTCCACAGATTTGCCTAAGGGCCGTTTTGATGGAGGCATCTTCTCATATCCCGCTTCCCCATTAGCTCACGTCGAGTTGATGAACAACTAACCAGCATGCTGTTCCACCGCAGTGCCCGATCTCTCCTCTCTCCTGGCCCTGTTGCCCGGTCTTCTTCGCCGGTTATGTTCTGACTCGAGATTTACAGAGTTCAAAGTTAACTGTGTCAGGGAGGGGGTGTGAAGCTATGCAGATAAGTCAGCGTCAGTGTTTGAAGCTTTGGAAAAAGTCAGCTCAGGATTGCATCAGTGTTAGAGGAGTCGAAGCTAGGAGATTAGCAGCACCCTAAGAATCCTCTGAAAGGAAACTGACTATGGTTGGTTCAGATTCTAGGTAAAGTTCATGTGGTATGAAAGAAAGCCCCAAGACAAGCTGGTAAAAGAAAATGCATGCTGCAAGAACACACTTCTAGAACATGAGCTCATGAATATGAGTAATACCTGAGGCGGCTCTAAGAGTACGGAAAAGGCGATCGCCTCAGGGGAAACAGGACAAAGGCAAAGGATCTGAAGCCTTACCTGGAATAACCTTTTTTCTCCAAGACAGGATTTCTCTGTGTAGCCCTAGCTGTCCTGGGAACTCACACTGTAGACCAGGCTGGCCTCAAACTCACAGAGATCCACCTGCTTCTGCCTCCTGAGAGCTGGGATTAAAGGGGTGCACTCCCCACACCTGACTACATAACTGAATCATTAAAAATCGAGTATGAGGAGCTGGATAAATGCACTGGCTGCTCTTCTAGAAGTCCCAGATTCAGTCCTCAGCAACGAATGGCATTGCACAACTATTTGTAACTTCAGTTTCAGGGGCTCCAATGCCCTCTTCTGACTTTTGTGGACAGTGGGTACACATACGAGGTACACATACATGCATACAGGCATAGCACTCCTACACATAAAAGCAAATAAGTAAATCTTTAAAAATTCAATCTGACTTATTTATACCACTTTTTGTGTTTATGTTTTCAGAACCATGCTGGGAGAGACATTGCTCAACTAACCAAGCAATATTGGCTATGTATATGTATATGTATATTGGCTATGTATATGTGACATAATTAGACTCCTCTGGTTTAGCCATTTACAAATGGTGCCATTATTTTCTCCATTTTAGCCATATGACTGCACGTGATCAAAGATGATTGCCATATACCGAATGATCCAGGCTCCGTACAGATACTCACCTTCTCTGTTAGTATACTTGGTACATGCCCAAGCTATGTGATCTTAAACAAATGACCTAACCTCTCTGATGTTTGGCTGTTTTTCTGGCCAGGGCTTTCCGAGGGAGAGCTTGAGGAAAAGGTTTGTGAAGAGGTAGTTTGTTTGAGAATGTGACTCCAGGAAGCAGGAGAGATGGACGGGGACTGAATCCTGTATAAGGAGGGTCAGCACACTGGCAAACGCTGTGGGTATCTAGGGCTTCGTGCCATCATGACCTTCCCCAGAAACCCTGAAATGTCTCAGAATTGTCTTCTGGAGAACAAGTACTTACCCACTGACTCTTATCTCCTAACGGTCAAGGGAGACCCACAGACTCTAAGTTCCGAGTACTGATGAGCTACATGTGCTTGAGATCGGTGCCCCCTTGGTTATCCTACTTCTCTGTATTCGGGAAACGTGTTCGCTAGGTTTTGGTCAACTTGACACCATCTCGATTTATCTGAGAAGAAGGAACCACAATTCCAGAAGACTGTGGTTAATGTGGGAGAACCTAGTCGGTAGGTTGGTGCCACCCTTGAGTAGGTGGTCCTGGATGGTATATGAATGCAATCTGAGCAAACCATGTAGAGCAAGTAAGGAAGCAGCTCTCTCCCATGACCTCTGCATCAGTTCCTGTCTCCACATTCTTGTCCTGCTTGAGTTCCTGGCCTGAATTCCTTGGATGATGAACTATAGTCTGAATGATGAAATAAACCCTTTCTCCCCCAAGTCACTTTTGATCATGGTGTTTGTCTTAGTTAGGTTTTCTATTGCTGTGAAGAGACACAATGACCACACTGACTCTTATACATTTATTTGGGTCTGCTTGCAGTTCAGAGGTCTGGTTCATCATCATCATGGCAGGAAGCATGATGATATGCAGGCAGACATGGTGCTGGAGATGTAGCTGAGAGTCCTGTGTCAGGATCCACAGGCAGCTGAAAGAGCAAGTGAGCCACATGGGCCAGGCTTGAGTATCTGAGACCTCCCAGTCTACCCCTGTGACACACTTCCTCCAACAAGACCACACCTGCTCCACCAAGGCCACGCCACCCAAGAGTGCTAGTCCCTATGAGCCTATAGAACCCTTTCGTTCTAACTACCCCAGTGTTTTATCACGGCAACAGACACCCAAATTCAGACAGAAATTGGTGCCAAGAGCTGGGTATCGCTGTGACAGAACTGACTGTGTTTGGGGGAGGAATGTGGAAGGACTTTGGAATGGAAAAGCTACTGAGCGTTCAGGGCTTAATGAGCAACTGTGGGGACTTAGCCGATTGTGTGAGAGCGATGCAGATGGTGGGGACCCGACTTGTGAAGTTTCGTAGGGAAGCAAAGACCAACAGAGCTATTTGAACCATATTTTGAATTAAAAATTTGAGGTCCTGGTCAGCTGGAGCTGAATAATTAGCTGTGATTAAAAAGAAGCCAGCACGACTAAGGTGAAGTCTGCTTTGCTGGGACAATCAACGCCCATTAGCTAGTGCTGAGAAATTAGTAGTGATTAAGAAGAGACCAATAACGTTGAGGTAAAATTTCTCTGGACGGTGGTGGCACAGGCCTTTAATCCCAGGACTTGGGGGCAGAGGCAGGTGGATCTCAGTAAGTTCAAGGCCAGCCTGGTCTACAAAGCTAGTTCCCGGACAGCCAGGACTCTTACACAGAGAAACCCTGTCTTGAAAAACAAAACAAACAAAAAATTCTTCTTAGGAGCATTTTCTCAGGGTAAGCTATTGTTCAGAGGTGAACACCTTGTGCTGGAAAGTGAGCTTGGTAATGTGTAAGAATCTCCCAGGTTGTTCTGGCTTTGAAGGCATAAAGGAATCACGGAGAGTGGCTGAGGCTTCGGAGCACGAGCAGTCAGGCGAGGCCTCTGGTGAAGGCACAGCTGCAGGTGATGTAGAAGTCCCAGGATTGAAGGGATCATGGAGAGGTTTTGGCTTGACACTACGTGGCGAGGTCAGAGATCCTGAAGAGAGGCGCAGTCCAGTTTCGGCGGAAACCCCAACATTTTAGAGTTGCTAACACCATGGAATGAGTGCCAAGGACAGCAGCAGCCATGGAGGGGAGCTAGCCTGAGCCTACATGACAAGCTCCGTGTGGTTTGGATCACAGAATCCAAGAGGTAGAGCTGCCCTAACCCTTTGGCACCCAAAGGATCATGAGTGGATGGCAGGCATCAAACACCAAAGTTTGGTTTTGATTTGATCTGATTGTAGATGTGCCCCTGGCCCTTCCTTCTTGAAATAAGAAAGTGTTTAACTTATTTTCTCTGTCATGAACGCCCACAGTTTAGAGACTCTGGAATTTTAGAGAGACTTTGGATATTTTAGAAGACTTTTAAACATGGAAAAAGACTGAATTTTTAAAATGTCTGATTTGTAAAATATTGCAAAATTTTGAAAAACTGGAACGTGCTATGGTATTAATATTAACATAGCATGTTGGGGACAGATAAGAAAGGAAAGGCCAGTTGAATAGCGGTGCATTATGTCTCAAGTTGACCAGGGCTCTATTGTTCTGGCTAGTTGTGTTTAAGGTATTTATTTAGTTATTGTCAACTTGACACAATCTAGGGTCATTTTGGAAGAGGGAATCTCAATTGAGAGAATGCCTCCATAAGATTAGTCTGTGGGGAGACCTGTGAGGGCATTTTCTTTGTTAATAATTGGTGTGAAAGGGTCCTGGTCATCGTGGTACTATCCCGGTCAGGTGGTTCTGAATGATAAAAGAAAGCAGGCTGAGCAAGCCACGAGGGGCAAGCCAGTGAGCAGCACCTCTCCATGGCCTCAGCATCAGACCCTGGCTCCACATTCCTGGAGTTCTTGGTCTGACTTCCCCGGTGATAGAGTACAATCTATGCGATGACATAAACCCTTACCTTGCTAAGCTGATGGTGTTTAACTGCAGTAATAGAAACCCTAAGTAAGACAGGAAGTTCCAGGCCAGGGTGAAGCCTGCCTAGAAAAGCCCCTCTAGGCTTTGGGTAGAGGGTCAGCTTTGATCCAGAGGTTTTTAAGGTGGTGTCCAAAGAGTGTGTGCCATGTTCATCTTCCCACAAGAGGAGGTGGGCCTTCACCTCACAGGGATGCTGCATGGCTTGGGCTATGTCCTGCACTGGATAGTGAGGGTGAGGGGTTCCAGCCAAGGAGCTGAAATAACAACAGAAAACCAGGCCATTGCAGAGTGACGTAGAGCTGGAATTGAAGGAAGGATGATTTTGAGAGATGCGAAAAGGAGGGTGGAATGGGATTTAGAACCAGAGCCAAGCTGGGATGCTGTGGAGTCTAGGTTTTGCAGAAAACTGTGGACAAATAACCTTTGTTAGGGAAACTTGTCACCTACAGTGCAGAGCTCATCCATGAAGTCTCTGCTAGTCAGTGCAGAGGCAAGCGTTTATTAATTTGTTTTTGCTGTGGAACAAACCACCTGAGAGCATGTGTGTATGTATGAGTGTGCCGAAGCAGGCACACATGTGTGTACATACCTGTGGAGACCAGAGGTTGATCTCTGGTATTGTTCCCTCAGGGCAGATGCACTTTTTTTTTATGTTGTGTGTGTATGTTTCTAGATGCATATACACCATGACCTGTGTGTGGAGGTTAAAGGACCATATGTCCTCCTACCATGTAGGTCCTGGGATTGAACTCAGTTCTTAGGTTTGATGATGTTAAAATAAGTTCGGGGTCAAAGAAGGAGACTGCTAATCCATCTGTAGTGTCTAGACAAGGCATGCTTTATGCTTTTGTTGTTTGTTTGCTTTTTGAGAAAGGGTTTCTCTGTGTTGCCCTGTCTGTCCGGGAACTCACTCTGTAGACCAGGCTGACCTCAAACTCAGGGATTCTCTTGAGTACAGGGATTTAAGGCAGACACCACCACAGCATACTTTACTCTTGATCAAGAGGGTGAACTCAAAAGAGTAAACACACAGAGACAGGAAGTGCGTTTGTTTTTATTCTAACTCAGGTAGTGACTGTGTCTTTTCCCCATTGGCTGGGATCCGGACGTCATGGTCTTAGTTTAATTGGCAAGTCTGAAGTGAATTGGCACACAGGAAATGAAGGAAGAGGGAAAGGTCATTCTCCCAAGGAGAATGGAGTCATAGCTCTAGTGGCTAAAATTCACGGAAACTGCAGAGGACCTTCCTGTAAACAAAGGTTTTACTGGGCAGTGCTGGTGATTAAAACATTTGGATAAATCTTACAATGTGGGCGTGGTAAAAAAAGATTTCAATTCCTTGTTCTAAGCACAAGTTTCATAGCGTATGATAGAAAAGACTCATATTGGCTTTCCTTCCTTCCTTCGTCCCTCCCTCCCTTTCTTTGTTTCTTTTTGGTTTTTCGAGACAGATTTTCTCTGTGTAATAGTCCTAGCTGTCCTGGAACTCACTCTGTAGAGCAGGCTGGCCTCAAACTCATGGAGACCTACCTGTTTCTGCCTTCTGAGTGCTGAGATTAAAGGCGTGCACCACTATGGGCCCAACTCTGCTTTTTGATCCAGGATCTGGAACTCAGGACTGCTCAGGAAAGATTGACAGGCTGGCAAGTCCCAGACACATCTGCCTCCAGCTCCCCAGCACTGTGATCACAAGCACGTGCCTTCATGCCCAGCTTTTCTGTGGTTTATGGGTGGAACTCAGGCCCTTATGCTTATGCAGAAAGGACTTAACCAACTGACCTAGCTCCTCAGCCTCACAGAGTCTATTGGCTTACAACCCTAGTCAGCTGTTATTTCTCACTAATGTTTGGATCTTCTGGATACTTCTTTGGCCTAGGTTGGTAATCCAATCTTAGTGGCTCTCTCAAACCTCTATGGGCAGTTGGCTGGAGGCTGGTTCAGGGTGGCTGCCTCACGTGACATCTGACTGACCCTTGCCTGGGCGGGTGGGATGCCTGGGTCACATGATATCTCATCCCCCAGAGGACTCTTGAGGACTTACTTTTATAGTGGCTGCATAGATTTCCTAGAGGAGTAGAAATTCACATGGCCTCTGGAAGCCTAGGCTCAGATTTTTGGCACATCAGGTTGTAGTAGCCAAAGCAATCCATAGGGACAGCCCAGATCAAAGAGGCAGGAGGATGCTCTCTGTCTCTTTATGGGAGGATGATAAAACAAAGTCACATGGCAAAGGGTGTGACATAGGGAAGAAAATAACTGGTCACTTCTGCAATTAATCTATCACAAAAGTGCAAGGGAAGTTGGCGGATGAGGCGAGACTAGAAGAGGCCAAGGGACTGGAGGTCTGGCTGGGAGCGAATCTCCCTAGTGACTCTCGAGGAAGAGTCATGGGATTTGCTGCATTCCAAGATAGGTAGATCAGGGGGAGGGGAGACTTTAGGGGATGCAGGGGAAACAGGTCTCTGAGTTTGCAGCCTCTGGGTCAGTGACGGGCTATAACCATTCCCAGACTGGGGATGTCAGCAAGTGACCATGTCTGATGGTCGGGGTGATTCCGAAGCCAGCACTGGGAAGATGGGAGGCCCTGATAGATGGCAGTTGAGGTGAGCTTTCAGCCCTGAGGCCCATGTCCCTCTAGGCTGAGAGATCTTGTCCAGTCTTTTTTAGCCTTGTGGATTGCTGTAGAACAAAGGAACGCTAAACTTGCTGTGGAGGCTTGGGGGGGGGGCATCTCATAAATCTTTTGGGCCGCACATTTATTCATGAGTTTATGGTTTGTTTATTTGTATGTTTGTTTTAATTTAAGAGACATTAGCTACACAGAGGAGGCTCTAGGAGAGACCAGGAAAGAAGAGTTCTGTTTCGGGGAGGATTGCTCTCACAAGTCAGATAAAGAAGAAGGATCCACAGAGGAGGGTGTCTCAGCTTCAACAGAGCCCCTGTTGCTTACGGCAGAAGACGGCTCAAGACGTCATCAGTGTCTGGTGCTGGACCGGAGCTGGCTCTGTCCTCATCAGGTGCTGGAGTCAGAGCTGGAGTGGGGACAGGAATGTGCTCTGGCTACAGGCTCCTGGGTGGTCTGCCCTGACGTCAGTACACTTCCCCCCTTCTTCCTCTTTGCTCTGAGAAGTCCAGCGACATCATGGCTTCCAGATGTGGTTTCCAGATGTGACCTGGAAGATTTCCAGAGGGAGCAAAGATGCAGAGGCAGCAACAGCTAAGCTCCTGGCTTTCCCCCAACTCTTCCTTTAATGGCTGCCTCTCCCTGACTTATATCACTAGGCCAGTGCATCAGGCACTCAGAAGCCCCGGTGGGTGGGTGGGTAAATAAATACCAATTCCAAAGAAACCTGATTTGGACAGACACATCTTTACTCACGTTGGAAAGAATTTAGCTCTGGGCAGCGGAGAACTCTCAGCTGTTTCTGTTGTGAGCAGCCCCAGCGGTTCCAAGGAGGAGGAAGTGAGCTGTCTCCTGTGCTGAGGACCTGCCAGAGCACTGGGCAAGCGGCCAGCTGTGGAAAGCCTCCCCTGATGGGAACTGCCGGGGCCCCAGTGTCTTAGAGGGATGAAGCTCCAGTTATGAACAAAGGCCACAGGCCACCGAAACCAGGCTGGGTGGCACTTCTCTGACGCCCCTACCCACGTCTCAAGCAGTACTATGCTCCATTGTTAAAATGCCGATTCTGATTGGGTGCATCTGGGATGGGGCCTTGGATCCTGCATTTAGAAGATTTTAATTACGTTAAAAATTGTATGTGTGCCCATGTATCATGTATGTATAGTGACCACTATCGTGAATGTGTGGAGGTCAGAGGACAGTTTGTGAGAGCTGGTTCTCTCCTTCCACCATGTTTGGGTTGGAAAGCAGCTGGAGAGAGCTGGCATGTGGAAGCCCTGGGTTTCATCTGCAGCACACACACACACACACACACACACACACACACACACACACACACGAGTCAAAGAAATAAAAGTGGTTGCTAGTCATTGCCGGGGAAAATTAAAACAGAAAGCAGCCAGACGGTATGTAAATGAATGGGTGTGACTGTGTTCCAAGGAAACTTATTAGTTTTTAAACAAAATAGGTAGCGAGCTGGATTTGCTTGTAGTCGGTTGGCCCTTGGCCTTGAAGGAACATCCAATCATCTTCTGAAGTCATGAATAGAAGCATGTTATTTGAGTAAAAATGTAAAAGAGCAAACTCTGGGAGCGTGACTGCTTGGGAGAATGGTATATTAGTCAGGGTCCAAGCAGGCAAACAAAAGCCATTTACACAGAGGTAATTAAATGCAAGGAGTTGGTCACATGGGTGATGGAGACTCAGAAAGTCAACCAAGAGCAGCCTGGAAGTTAGCAATGGCATGGAAGTTGTTACTAGACCTTTGAAGTAGTGGGGAGGGGTCAAGGACTTAGGTCAAAACTGCTAGAAGCAGGGACTACATAGCTACTGCGTGCCGTGGGTGAGACCCAACACCAGTACAAATACTTGGGAAGAAATGCCAGGCTATCTCCCTCCTTTTGCCCTTCCCTCTGTCACGCACTGGTCACCCAGCTGGGAGCCTGTGTGAGCGCGTGGCAGCCAGCCCCTGCCATCTAGGCTGAGAAGGGAAAGGCTAACAGGCTTCGGTTCAGCCTGAGAGGACACCCGGAGTGAGTTCTGGAATGTAGGTAGTAGACCTGGCATAAGCAGGGAGGGTGGAATTCTGGGCACAGGCTTAAGGTATATCAGTCTGAGCGGTATCGGATGTAGGGAGGATGTCCCCTTAGGTCAGATGTGATTTAGACTTTATAGCAGGCTTTGGCAAATAGCTGTCCCAGAGTTTTGTTTTGTCTAAAAATAAAATGTAAAAGCCATCGTCAGCTCACAAACCACACAAGCCACAGGCAGCAACAGCTGAGCCGTGAGCTTTAGTTTGCCAAGCTGGTTTTGAAAGGCTTATTTGAGACGAGGTCTCACTATGTTGACCAGACGGATTTTGAACCCCTGAGATAAGTAAACCCCTTGCCTCAGCCTTCCCAAGTATCTGGGACTACAGTTGTCTACCATTCGGCCTCAGTTTTACTTTGCTCTGTTTTGAGCACTGTTGGGGATAAGATCCAGGGCCTTGCACAAGACAGGCCAGCAGACTCCTAGGCAGAAGGACCCACTTTAGCATTGGAGCTGGCAGGAGCCTGGGGGAGGAGACACGAAGCCTGGAGTGGAGGCTTCTCATGGTCCTTGTGGAGAGTAAGGCACGAGTTAGAGATGCAGAACAGGCTGGACAAAGACATCGCTTGTGTCAGACAAGACACCTAAGGTAGATTTGGAGGGATTTCCAAAGAAGCACATTAAATAGTTCCCCAGTTAACCTGGAACTCCCAGCCAGTCTTTTGTTTCAGAAAGCCAAAGGGAGGTCCTGCCATTCCAGGTGAAGGGACCTCTTCATTCCATGCTCCCTCACCCCACCTCTGACCTCCCTTCAGGCAGAATGGGTGGAGGAATAGGTCTCTACACTTTCAGCTAGTGTAGAGTCAGGCTGCCTGGCTTCCGTGACTCACTTATTGCTCATTCTAGAATGCGGGTACCTTGTATCTCTTGTCCTCATTGTCAGGCCTTGGCTGCTGCTCTGAGACAACAGGAGAAGCCCTGCCTGCATCCTCTCATGTTTTCTTATGGGGTTTGGGTCCAGAGTAGAAATGAGAGTCAGCAAGCCTCTCACCTAGCCTGGGGCTCTGAGGTTTGCTGCCGGCCCCAGCATCGTCCTTATCACAGGCTGCCTTTGTCTGACAGGGCTGGGTAGGGTCCTTGTGCTCTACTAGAAGCGGACACTCAAATTAGGCTAGTTTGATGAGATGGGAGAGGCCCATGTAGGCTGTCTGCCAAGCCGCCTCCTAGTGTGGATGACTTGAGAAACTTGAGTATTCCAGGGTAATTGAGGGACAAAGGGTTTGAGCTACAGATGAAGGATTACTCCAAAGGCTGGTTCTTCAAGCCAGCATTGTAGCCTTCCGAAGCTCAGGGGAAAACCCTCCAAGTGTGGGCATGCCAATTTATAAATGCAAGGCAGCTGGGGCTCCCTGCAGTTATGAGGCACCAAAGAGGGAGGGGGGCTTTTATGGAATCCGTTCTAGATCTTTCTCATAGACGCTTAACCCAGGGGCAAAATGAAAAGCAAAGTTACAGAGCCCAAGCAGATCTGCGAGTCAACTGGCCAAGCGATTGGAGGAGGTGTGCAGGGTAGAACGAGCTAATAGTCCAGAGGGAACGCGGCAGACACAAGAGAGGCTGTGCAGGTAGGAGTTGTGCCCCTTGTCTTGGCTGTTTGGGATCAGGACCCATTGCATAGCTGGATGCAGGTATTGCAGGTGGATGAGTGCAGCTTTTTAAATTTCTTTATTCTCCAGTGAGTTTTGTGTTGAGTGGTAGAAGATGGTAGAGGTCTCAGGAATCTAAGGTAGTGGGAATAGGTGGGTAGGAGAGATCTCTAGTCCCAAATCCAGTGGTGGAATCCCTTCCTTCCTATAGAAGCTTGGGGACACAGTGGAGAACAGGGATTGCTAAAAGTTCCACTTGCCTGGCCAGCAGAGTGTCAGTGTTCAAAGTCAGCCACCAAAGGTTGCTAGTTCCAAACTCTGCTTATACCCCCTCGGTTCTCCAGCTTGTGCTGGTTCACTGACAAAGGTACCTGGACTGGGCCCCTCCAGTGCGCCTGCCCTTGGCAATGTGACTTTGCCACCCGTCCCGTCAAGAGGTGGAATCTGGGCTAGGGTGTTAGTCAGGCTGTCTGGAGAAACAGAACCGACAGGATAGGCAGGTGAATGAGAGAATTATTTTAAGCAACAAGCTCACGCAGTCACAAAAATTTGCAAAACAAGCTGGCAGTCTAAAGACTAAGAGAAAACCCGCAGGTTGCACCTGAAGGCTTTCATTGTACTGGAGAGCTCCTTGTTGCTGGGGGAAAGGTAAGTCTTTGTTCCATTCAGGCAGTCAACTGATTAGACGAGGCCCAAGCACGTCATGGAAGCTAAGCCTTAGGCTTTACTTGAAGCTTTCCAATTTAAAAGTTAACTTCATTTAAACAAAACAATCATGGAAATATCCTCAGTAGCGTTTGACCAACATACCGTGCCCAGCCATGTTGGCATATAAAACTCGTTATCGTATTTGATCTGCCGCTTGTTTTGTGCCATAGAATGTGATGAAGGCAATGCTGTGTACGTGCTGAGACCCTCAGGGGCTGTGGTCAGTTCTGCTTCTGTCACGGACTTCTGCCAGTCATCGTATAGACAGTTAGGCTGCACTCGAGGATGAGTGCCTATGTGGGCAAGAGATAAGACATGCCAGTTGATGGCAGATTCCAGTCCACCTGGCAGGTGGTCGCATAGGTATGAGAAAAATGCATCTGAGACAAACTGCCCAGCCACGAATGCTGGTCTGCATAACTGGAGGGCTAAATAGTTGTTGTCCCAGGCTTCTATATTTTGGGGTGATTTGTTACACAGCAAATGCTAACTGATGCTAACTGATACAATTTCAACTTCCATGGTGCCCATGAGCCTACTGCGTTAGCTGTTTAAGAGGATACAGGCGAACAAGTTCTAATAAGGCTCCATGTGTGACACCTATGTTGGTGCTTCTGAGATTTAAATATAGCTCTGTCCAAGCATATTCTCACCTGGCAAGATCCCACAACCATGTGCCAGAGCAGAGGGAGGAGCTGATGGCTGGAAGCCAGGAAAGCTGCACACTGCAGGGTTGAGGACCAAAGGGTTGGGTCCTGGAGCCTACCTCTGTGGGCCTAGAGGAGTTTCGGGGATAGTCATAGGACGTAGTCTTGGCAAAAAACCTGGGAAGCAGCAAAACCAGGCCATGCCCTGAGCAAACCGTCTTCCCAGAGTCAGGATTTCTCCAAAGGCAGAGTTAGGGTCTGTGAGACCTGAGCTGATGCAG